GGAGTGCCCCTGGAGCAGGTCTCCAGGCATGCTGGGTTGCACAGATGCCTCAACCACCGGCTGGGGGGCCACGTACAACGGGCTTGCAGTGTCAGGGGTTTGGACGGGGCCCCGACTGCACTGGCACATCAACTGCCTCGAGTTGCTGGCAGTGCACCTTGCCCGGGGCCGTCTCAAAGGGCGCTTACGAGGCAAGCATGTACTGGTCCGCACGGACAACACAGCGACCGTTGCTTACATCAACCGACAAGGTGGTCTGCGCTCCCGTTGCTTATCGCAACTCGCTCGCCACCTCCTCCTCTAGAGTCAGAAGCATCTAAGGTCACTTCGTGCTGTTCACATTCCTGGGCTACTCAACCGGGCAGCCGACGAGCTGTCCCGAGCTGTGCTCCCGGGAGAATGGCGACTCTATCCCCAGACAGTCCAGCTGGTTTGGGGACGTTTCGGAGCCGCTCAGGTAGACCTGTTTGCCTCTCCAGAAACCTCTCACTGCCAGTTGTTCTTCGCCCCGACCGAGGGAACACTCGGCATGGACGCACTGGCACACAGCTGGCCGCGGGGCCTTCGCAAGTATGCGTTTCCCCCAGTGAGCCTTCTGGCACAGTTGCTGTGCAAGGTCAGGGAGGACGAGGAGCAGGTCCTGCTGGTGGCACCCTATTGGCCTACCCGGATCTGGTTCCCGGAACAAATGCTCCTCGCAATAGCCCCTCATTGGCCGATTCCTCTGAGGAAGGATTTACTGACTCAGAGACGGGGCACCCTTTGGCACCCGCGTCCAGACCTCTGGAAACATCATGTCTGGTCCCTGGACGGGATGCTGAGGTTCTAAGTGGCCTACCCCTAAGAGGTAGTTGACACCATCACTTCAGCAAGGGCACCGTCTACGAGACACGTCTACGCTTTGAAGTGGAACCTGTTCATTGAGTGGTGTTCTTCTCGCCGAGAAGACCCCCGAAGATGCCCGATCGGAGTTGTGCTGTCCTTTTTGCAGCAAGGGTTGGAGCGAAGGCTGTCTCCCTCCACCCTTAAAGTTTATGTCGCTGCAATCGCTGCTAACCACGACCCCGTAGAAGGGAGGTCGTTGGGGAAGCATGACCTGGTTGTCAGGTTACTTAAGGGGGCGAGAAGGTTAAATCCTCCTCTCTATACCCTCTTGGGACCTGACTCTGGTGCTCACGGCACTACAGCAGGGCCCATTTGAGCCTTTGCAGGCGGTTGAGCTGAAGTTCCTTTCAATGAAGACTTTACTCCTGCTTGCATTGGCCTCCATCATTTTCGGTCAACGATTCGTGCCTGGAGTTCGGGCCGGCTGATTTCCAGGTAACCCTGAGGCCCTGGCCCGGCTACGGCGAAACGTTTTCTGCAACAATTGGGGGGAATCTTAACTGAGGAGACAAACTGACCTACAGGAAGCTATGGATCTATTGAATGTGTATTTTTCAAGCATTCTATTGTGGCATTCACTGTTATTTTTCTGCACAGTGATAACTAGTGAAAAGTGTTCCTACTAATTTACTTAAGTATAGTTAACCCAAAATTCTGTCATCATTTACATTATTACATCAATTCTCCCTCTTTTTCTTTTCAAACCCCTGACTTTTGTTTTTCTGCAGAAGAAAGAAGATACTTTGAAGAATGCTGGTAATCAAAACCAACAGGTTTGTCACATTTAGACGACATAAAGGGAGTAAATTATTTTCATTTTTGGGTAAACTATCTCTTTAATTAGGATGATACACACTTTAAATTTCAATCATACTGGACACAGCCACTTAATGTGCTAGAATTAAATGGGTAAATAATAATAAGTAAATAGTCTTTCAAACAACATGTGCTTTGATACAATATATACATTTACTTTCATTCAGAAATGAAAGCTCCCAAGCAAAGTACTCACTGGACTATGATGTGGAAAGACATGCTGCACAATGAGCAACAACCAAGAACAGTATTCACTGATTACCTTTAAAAATGATTCATAGCTGGGTAATAATTATTTAAATTATTTTACCAAGTACAAAATGTTTAATTCAAAAACTTCGCCATTTACCAATGTGTTTTTCAAAACACCTTTTAAATTTGTAATGTTTTAACCTTTATTAAATGTTACAGTCCAAGTGTACATATAAATGCATGGGTAATTTTGCAAAATGTGTTAAATATTTTATCTACACTTATTGTATAACTGCTGTTTTTTTTGCTGTAATTGCATGGTTTTGTAAATAAATTGTTTTGTAAATACATTTTCCTCATGCCAGCTTGGTCAAGCTAGTTATTTAATGGACTTTAAAATTGCTTTCATAATAATGAGATGTTTATAGATTTGTTAAGTCATGTTATTTATGTATTATAATCTATATAATTAAAATGAAAGTAAACGTTTTGTCTAGGTAACGTTATTAATTTTAAATGAAATATTAATGAACAGTACAGTAGATGAAACTGTGCTAAGTCTGGCGTGCTGCGCAACGTGCCGAGTCCGGCTTGGATGCTGCAGTGTCGGTAAGTTACAGCTGTCGCATCTGGTCCGGTTGATTCGGCCCAGAATCTGAAAGTGAGTACACAGACATCCAGGCCGAGTGCTGCAGATGAATCAGGGCCGATGGACAAGTGTCTAGCAGGTGAAAATTTAACTGAAAATGGCCAGAGTGTACGTTTGATTGTGTACGAGGTAGATGTAAACAGTCTATCAGCAAACGTCAAGTTAGTAAGTTTTCACTAGACTTTAGTGGAGTCAGCAGTTCGCTTGACAGTAAATAAGGATCTAATCCTAAAGTATACATTTTTTAAAAATACCATTGTTTTCCGTTGTTGGTGAAGTGTTATTTTGGATTCCGATTACCAAGGAGAGGCTACGCAAGGTCCTAAAGATGGCGGCCGCAACAAAAATGTAACGTGACTGAAACCCATGAATACGGGAATGTTTGAATACGGTGAAATCATGCACGTGCGTAGTACATGTTATGTATGTAGACATGCGCAGTACGTGACGATTTTAAAGGCAAGCACGAACTAACATACACAACAATGGCCGAGTACATGATACTGTTGTTGCTGTTTAAGAGTTTGCTAATGCTTCTTCAGCAAAGTGTGGATTTACTTCACCAATATTACAACCCACAGCGGAGACGCATCATATACACACAGCAACAGGTACTGTTTACTAACAAGGTGACAGTGCCAAATACTGGCCTGGCATACGTATAACAGCGTTTTTGGCCGTTTTCGCGGATATGTGTAGACGCAAATCATTTTGAAAATGTTGTCGTGCATACGTGAAACTTTTTTAAAACGCAAGAGAAAAACTTTTCCGTTTTTGACTATACTGTTGTCGTGTGAAACGTAATCTTAGATTTACATCAGACAAAGATATTTTCTCTTCCCAAAGCTAGTATTTGCTTCTAATCAAATGTAAAAACTGAAACACTTACCGATCGGAAGAACCAGGAAAAACGGAAGCCAACATAGGACGAAGCATCCAACCACGATGCCCAGGGTCTTAGCGGCCTTCTTCTCTCGGGAGAACTTGAGCAGACGCAGTGCAAAGTGTGTCCGGTTGCGCAAGGCCTCGTCCTCGGACACTGTTGTGTTCCCACGATGTATCCGCAAAGTTACGGCCTCGGTGGCGTGATCAGACTTTTCCGTTTTCAGTCCGCTAATCAGTGCTCGGGTCTCCCTCTTCGCGACCACGTACACGCGGCAATACATCGACAGAATCACCACAAGAGGAAGGTAGAAGGATCCCAATGCGGAAAAAATGGCATAGCCAGGCTCTTCAGTAATCTTGCATATGGATTCGTCCTCCGGCGCCGGTTCCTTCCATCCAAAAAGAGGTCCAATTGAGATGGTAATGGACAGAGCCCACAAAACAATGAGTGCAAGCAACGCTCGTCGTTCTGTCACAATGGACGGGTGCTGCAGCGGATAACTAACGCCGATATATCGGTCCACCGAAATCATGCATAAGCTCATGATGGACGCCGTACAGCACAAGACGTCCATTGCCGCCCAAACATCGCAAAACGGCCGTCCGAAGATCCAACGGCCCAACATTTCAAAGACTGTAGAAAATGGAAGAACCGTAGAGCTCAGCAAAAGGTCCGCGACCGCCAAGTTCACAATGAAATAATGGGTAACTGTGCGTAGATTACGATGGCAAACCACCGAGAGGATGACCAGGATGTTGCCCAGAACGCCAAAAATGATGAAGATCGCCAACACCATTCCCAGAACGACAGCCTTCATGACGTTCAGCTCTGGGACGAGAACCTGGCTGCAGTTGCTACAGTTTTCATGGAACGACTCCGGAGTCATGTTGTCTTTGAGGGGAATCATCTGTTCAAGATGTCCAGGCATTTAATAAAGGTCTGATTTTGATGCCGTGAGTTTCTATTTGCACCTTAATATCTCTCCAAGAAAATGTTGAAAGCGCTACTTCTGCATTGGCCGTGGTCCAAGAACACTGGGGCATTTCCAGCATTGCAATGAGGGAACGTGATTAAATTTAACCTGTTGTGTCTCATTTCTCCTAGATGGGGTAGAATAAACCATAAAAATATCTTGAGCTTTTGTTCAGCACAGACTTTATTTTAGGCATTTACCACAAAGCCAGACGTTAACAGCACCTCGAAAACCTGGTAGATTTGCTGGTATAAAAAAGCCCACAGATGCACATTGCACAACATGCACTAAAAACAACCTACAATACCCTAGCAACCACCTGAAATACCCTAGTAACACACCAAACCACCTTAGCAACCAAAAAAGCAGCATCCAGCATAGTAACACTCTGTCAACCACTCTTATTTTCTTCAGAACGTGTAAAGCCTGACTTTCAGATTGTTTGTGAGCGAAGGAGACCACAGATGCAGAAACCGACCTTTCACAGGGGTTTTAACGAGACCGTGTCCTGTGAGACTGAGAAGCCAGTTCTGAACGAAGTGAAACAGCAATCAATACCTTGATCAAAGTCACAATTTGTGTTACAAGAGATTTCTGTTTTAAATAAATGCTGTTCTTTTGAACTTTCTATTCGTCAGAGACTCATGACAAAAATGTATCACTGTTGCACATTACAACAACTGTTTTCAATATTGATAATAATCAGAAATGTTTCTTGTGCATCAAATCAGCATATTAGAATGATTTCTGAAGGATCATGTGACACTGAAGACTGGAGTAATGATGCTGAAAATTCAGCTTTGATCACAGGAATAAATAACATTTTACAATGTATTCAAATAGAAAACATTTAAAATTGTAATAATACTTCGCCATATTACTGTTTTTACTGCACCTTTGATCACGTAAATGCAGCCTTGGTGAGCAGAAGAGACTTTTGAATGGTAATGTTATGAAACTTATCAGTTAAGAAAGCGATGTTAGAAATTCACGGTTAATATTTCTTCTGGTCTAATTGTCATACTGCACATTTTGGCACATCTAGATATTTAGAAGAGTCATATGCTCTGCATTAAGATCAGGATTGTACTTGTCTGTGGAGGTTAAGCTCAGAAATGAATGATTAATATTATTTTCCCCACCCACCTGGAGAGACAAAAGTCTTTTCACAGTTGGAGAATGTTATTGCATTTTGATGAAAACAAACAAATAACATGCACTGATGAATCATGCATAATCCGACCAGGGATGTTCAACTTTGGTCAAGTTTGATTTCAGTATAATAGTTTTTTATCACAAATCCCCTGTTGCATTATCTCCCTTCTGCTTTTTTGTGACTGTCAGCATTCATTTCCTGGTCTCCTGTCTGAACCCAACTGCCATTGTATTTATACACACAGGCGAGAGAAACTGAATCCTGTCCAGGGTTCGCCGGGCTCAGCGTGATAATACTAGTGCTAGGACCGAGATAGTGGAGTTCAGTGTGCATTCAGCGGTCTCTCTGTCTCTGATCTCCCCATCACGACATCAACCGGCGTCTGACCTTTGGGCCTCACCGGCGCGTCGAGTGGAACTCCATGCTGATACACCAGCTGTTCAGAGCCTGAGCAGGCTCGCTTTGAGCTGCCATGCTGCATTGCACAATAGCCCTCCTGCCTGCACTACACCGTCCACCCCTGTGCCGCTCTCTCCTGAGCTGCTATCAATGCTCATCATCTTCAGTTTAGTTGATTTATAAATATCATAGGCATAGTTCACCAAAACATGAACATTCTCTGAAATTGACAGAAATTTACCCTCAGGCCATCCAAGATGTACAGTGGGTACGGAAAGTATTCAGACACCCTTTAAATTTTTCCCTCTTTGTTATATTGCAGCCATTTGCTAAAATCATTTAAGTTAATTTTTTTTCCTCATTAATGTACACACAGCACCCCATATTGACAGAAAAACACAGAATTGTTGACATTTTTGCAGATTTATTAAAAAAGAAAAACTGAAATATCACATGGTCCTAAGTATTCAGACCCTTTGCTCAGTATTTAGTAGAAGCACCCTTTTGATCTAATACAGCCATGAGTCTTTTTGGGAAAGATGCAACAAGTTTTTCACACCTGGATTTGGGGATCCTCTGCCATTCCTCCTTGCAGATCCTCTCCAGTTCTGTCAGGTTGGATGGTAAACGTTGGTGGACAGCCATTTTTAGGTCTCTCCAGAGATGCTCAATTGGGTTTAAGTCAGGGCTCTGGCTGGGCCATTCAAGAACAGTCACAGAGTTGTTGTGAAGCCACTCCTTCATTATTTTAGCTGTGTGCTTAGGGTCATTGTCTTGTTGGAAGGTAAACCTTCAGCCCAGTCTGAGGTCCTGAGCACTCTGGAGAAAGTTTTCGTCCAGGATATCCCTGTACTTGGCCGCATTCATCTTTCCCTCAATTGCAACCAGTCGTCCTGTCCCTGCAGCTGAAAAACACCCCAACAGCATGATGCTGCCACCACCATGCTTCACTGTTGGGACTGTATTGGACAGGTGATGAGCAGTGCCTGGTTTTCTCCACACATACCACTTAGAATTAAGGCCAAAAAGTTCTATCTTGGACTCATCAGACCAGAGAATCTTATTTCTCACCATCTCACAACTCCATGCGGGCTTTCATGTGTCTTGCACTGAGGAGAGGCTTCCATCGGGCCACTCTGCCATAAAGCCCCAACTGGTGGAGGGCTGCAGTGATGGCTGACTTTCTACAACTTTCTCCCATCTCCCAACTGCATCTCTGGAGCTCAGCCACAGTGATCTTTGGGTTCTTCTTTACCTCTCCCACCAAGGCTCTTCTCCCCCGATAGCTCAGTTTGGCCAGACGGCCAGCTCTAGGAAGGGTTCTGGTCATCCCAAACGTCTTCCATTTAAGGAATGGAGGCCACTGTGCTCTTGGGAACCTTAAGTGCAGCAGAAATTTTTTTGTAACCTTGGCCACAGATCTGTGCCTTGCCACATTTCTGTCTCTGAGCTCTTCAGGCAGTTCGTTTGACCTCATGATTCTCATTTGCTCTGACATGGACTGTGAGCTGTAAGGTCTTATATAGCCAGGTGTGTGGCTTTCCTAATCAAGTCCAATCAGTATAATCAAACACAGCTGGACTCAAATGAAGGTGTAGAACCATCTCAAGGATGATCAGAAGAAATGGACAGCACCTGAGTTAAATATATGAGTGTCACAGCAAAGGGTCTGAATACTTAGGACCATGTGATATTTCAGTTTTTCTTTTTAATAAATCAGCAAAAATGTCAACAATTCTGTCTTTTTCTGTCAATATGGGGTGCTGTGTGTACATTAATGAGGAAAAAAATTTTACTTAAATGATTTTAGCAAATGGCTGCAATATAACAAAGAGTGACAAATTTAAGGGGGTCTGAATACTTTCCGTACCCACTGTAGATGAGTTTGTTTCTTCATCAGATTTGGAGAAATGTAGCATTGCATCACTTGCTCACCAGTGGATCCTCTGCAGTGAATGGGTGCCGTCAGAATGAGAGTCCAAACAGCTGATAAAAACATCACACTAATCCACAAGTAATCCAAACCACTCCAGTCCATCAGTTAACATCCTGAGAAGCCAAAAGCTGCGTGTTTATAATAATTAAAATTTTACTCCAAACCATTGCTTCTGGCTAAATATTATGGCCATAATATTGGATTCTCCAGTGAAAAAAGTTGTCTCGTCTGAATCAGGAGCAAAATCTGCACAGATCGAGCACCATTTACATGTGAAAACAATCCAAAAACGGTTCTAAACAAATATGTGGGTGGATTTTTACTGGAGGAAGCAGTATTATGGATTATGAACTTTACGTAGACTATTTTTGCCAACAGTTTAAAATTAAAATGCCTTAATGATGGATTTGTTCCTTACAAACACACAGCTTTTGGTTTCTCAAGACATTAATCGATGGACTGGAGTGGTGTGGATTACTTGTGGATTATTGTGATGTTTTTATCAGCTGTTTGGGCTCTCATTCTGACGGCACCCATTCACTGCAGAGGATCCATTGCTGTGCAAGTGATGCAATGCTACATTTCTCCAAATCTGATGAAGAAACAAATTAATCTATATCTTGGATGGCCTGAGGCTGAGTAAATTTGCAGTGAATGTTCATGTTTGGGTGAACTATTCCTTTAAGGTGCAGTGCTCAATCTGATTGGCAGCACTCGCGTATGGTGAGGGACACAACTAAAGCATTTGCTGTTTTAGTCCCCAAGCAAACAGTAAATTAAACTGACAGCCAGATGATTCTCACTAACATCAGTAAGAGACTTAGAGCTTTGCCAGACTGGCTCCCATATGGCCGAGCACATAACACAACTCACCAAAACAGCTCATCATCTCAGCGAACAGAAGCAAGCAAGTGTCTAGACTTGTGAAGGATATAGTTAATATTAGATATTTATATTTAAACAGATATAACATTCCCATAGCAATAATTCACCCAAAAATGAAAAATCTGTAATTTACTTATAATTTACTACTGTAATTTAAAACTATACTGTAAAAAGTGGTAACATGCAGTTGTTACCTTAAAGAGCTATTTTTACCTGATTTAAATAAAAAAATGGTTTTGGTATAAATGAATTTTGTTTGATTCATTATGCTAAATAATTTTTTATTTTCATTCAAAAAAATAACAGAACACATTTTTTATTTTATTTTTTATATTTTATGTATCATTTTAATTTTATTTTTGAAAAAAATATATATTTTTAAAGTTTTAGCAGTTTTTGTCCATACAGTGGAACCTTTTTAAGCTTTAAACACAAACAAAAAATATTGTAATATGTTTTACAAGAAAATATTTCCATCTTTCTACTTCAAAATGTAATGTATAATTCAGTGTGTTACTTGTCGTTTCTTCATGATTATTTGTGAAATTTACTTGCAATTTCTGTATGAGCGACATGAGGATTAGTCAATATTTATTTTAGACCGATCAATTCCTTTAGGACTTTAGAGGAGTCTCTATTATTCATGAACAGATTGTGGCCTGCGGGCAGCCTGCTCATCACAGAAACAGTCGATCCTCTGGTTTTCAGCTCGGTGGTCCCTCCACAACCTGTATGTTACACTCACTCGGACTGAGATTAAATCACAATTATTGGTCTTCTTTGCCTAGTACTTATCACAGCCCTGCAGGGCGTGCAATAACCAGAGCCACAGCGCTCTCTCTGTAATCGCCAAAGCCTCCGGTGAAATTAATGGATACGGTTGGCTGCTTTTACATAAAGAGAGGTAAATATTTAGGCTTCAACGCTGAAAGGTAATTCAAGTCGCAGCTTCCTAATGTACAGGCTTCAAAAAGACAGAAATGAGTTCCATCACTGGCTGCTCGTTCTGACTCAGTGTTTATGTCACATCAAAGCATGAGACCTCAGCAGAAGGTGAAGAGGGCACGCGGACAGTGCCTTATCTCTCCTGATTGAAAGCTCAGGTCCACGGCTTTCTAGAACATTCCTCTTCAGGAACAAGAGAAAATGCATGCTGAGAGGCTCACACTATTTAAGAAAGCAGAGTAATTGAATTTGAAGTGTTGTAGTCTATGGAAATTTGGCTACTATATCTGGAAGAAGAAAAAAACGTGTATGTAATTATATCTAATTATAAATGTTTTGGATGTATCTTATTATGAAATGTTACATATTAGATTTTTCACCATTTTAACCACCTTTTCTGCTACACTCATTCAGATTGAGTGTGTGTGTATATATATTAATATATATATATATGGGCAGTTGATATGCAATATCATGCAATAAAGAAAATATGCAATATATTCTCTTAATGTAAAAAAATGCATTTAAATATATATATATATAGAGAGAGAGAGAGAGAGAGAGAGAGAGAGAGAGAGACATGAAATATTATACAATATATTTTTAAAAGTACAGATATTCCATGTATGTTAATGTTAAAAAATTCTTAAATATATGCAGTTGACATTAAATATTAAACATTGTAATATTAAACATTAATACATTTTAAAAAGTGCAATGTGCATATTAATAAAGAGAGACCGAATATTTGTACTTTTAAAAATGTATGTTACACCGAATGGCCATTTATAATGAACCAGTGAAGGGAAAAAAGGTGATTAAAAATACTTGGAAATAAAAAGAAAAAAAATTATGAGCAGCACCTTAAAATTTAATCTTAAATATTCATGTAAACCTTAACTTAAAATCTTGATTCTACTACAAAAAGCATATCATATTTTATTATGAAAACCAGATTTGTTTGCTACTAAAATCAGAAACTCATTAGAACAAAATATTATAAGTAGCCTAACCATTTCCCCCATTATTAAATATAAGATTCTGAACAGCTTACTATCATAAATGAAAAGCAACAGCATTATCCTTATGCATATAGCTATTATATGTATGTGTCCTTTTCAGAATATGCACACCACCATTGTGTCCATTTTCTGATTCAACAGTTTGTTTGAGTAGACAGATTCGAAAAAAAAAATCTTATTTATAATCAAACTATTTTTGCTCCAGTCAATACAAAACAATTAGAGTAACCTTTTCATGTTGCCCATCATGCATAAATCATTGTGACAGCTGGGAGAGGATGCAGAAATCTCTGGAACACAATGCATTACATCAGTATGCACCAACATAAGCACTAAACACGCGAACGCACTCAATCCCTCATTTTAAAGACCGTAAACAGAACGCAACAGCTTATACCGGTATGTGAAGTTATCAGAAGCAACCTGTAGACTCACCCCAGCGCACATCACACGAAGTTTGCAAACGGAAAAGGAATATTTATAATGACTGCATTCTCAATAGAGCCTAGTCTAGCAGTTGCATGCCTGAATGAACACTCACCTCAGCAGCGTGTCAGTGAACGCGAGAACTCGATCCGGAGGTGTTTGGGTAGATGGACGCGCGACGCGTCTCCGGTTCATCGCTTCAGTCTCTCCTCTCATCCCTGTGGAAACAGCAGAGCTTAAGTTCAGCCAGTCAAGTGCAGTTCAGTGTTTCCACACGCACATTTGAGCGGAAGGGTCTCGGGACATCAGTATTTCTCAGAGGAGGTGACAGTGAGTCATGGCGCTCCGCGCCGCGCCGCCTCCTTTACGCACAAACTTTGGTGCCGCTGCGCTCTGGGCTCGTGGATGTGGACGTGGCGACTGGCCAGCGATAGTACATCATCTCAAAGAAGAGTGCTGACGCGATTTCTGGTTATAGCCTCTAACGTATAGTAAGTGAAAATACACATAAGAAGGGTGGTTACCCAAACTCCGCGAGGTGAACTGAGCTGAACTGTTGCCGCTGTGATCCTAAGCGAGAAACTTGATAATGCATGAGTCACATTTCACCACAGAATCAAAAATACATTACATTTTATTTCAGTTAATGAAGAAATGGGTTGAAGATGTGCTTAAAAAGGAAAACACAATCATTCTCAAGCCATCCAAGATGTAAATGAGTTTGTTTCTTCATGGGAACAGATTTGGAGAAATGTAGCACTGCATCACTTGCTCAGCAATGGATGCTCTGCAGTGAATGGGTGTCGTCAGAATGAGAGCCCAAACAGCTGATAAAAGCATCACAATAATCCACAAGTAACCCACACCACTCCAGGCCATCAGTTAACATCTTGTGAAACAAAAAGCTGCATGTTTGTGAGAAACAAATCCATCATTAAGATGTTTTAAACTTAAAACCGTTGCTTCCAGCTAAAATATGAGTCCAAATAATAACGCTTCATCCAGAGAAAAACTCCATCTCCAGATGTGCTTAAAAAGGAAAACACAATCATTCTCAAGCCATCCAAGATGTAAATGAGTTTGTTTCTTCATGGGAACAGATTTGGAGAAATGTAGCACTGCATCACTTGCTCAGCAATGGATGCTCTGCAGTGAATGGGTGCCGTCAGAATGAGAGTGCAAACAGCTGATAAAAGCATCACAATAATCCACAAGTAACCCACACCACTCCAGGCCATCAGTTAACATCTTGTGAAACAAAAAGCTGCATGTTTGTGAGAAACAAATCCATCATTAAGATGTTTTAAACTTAAAACCGTTGCTTCCAGCTAAAATATGAGTCCAAACGCTTCATCCAGAGAAAAACTCCATCTCTTGTTGTCTGTCACAACTAAATCCATCCACATATTTGTTTGGAATCATTCGGGGCTTTTTTGGCTTGGACATGGTGTTTGATCTGTGGATATTTATTTCCTGATTCAGACGAGATTGTTTTTTCACTGGAGAAAGCAATATTATGGATTATGGACTTGTATTTTAGCAGGAAGCAACAGTTTGAAGTTTAAAACGTCTTGATGGATTTGTTTCTTGAAAACACACAGCAATTTTCAGTAAATTCTCATTTTTGGGTGAACTATTCCTTTAAATGGTCTTTAAAATAAGCTTTTCTCTAGAGAGTATTATAACCCAGACATGTTTTTGTGAGAGCCCATTTACTCACCCTTGTGTCATTCCAAACTGTATAACTTTGTTTCTTCTGTGGCGCATAAAAGGACACATTTTGTAGAGTGTCCTGTTCCTGTCTATAAAATAGATGCTGATTCATGTTGCCAAACTCAAAAAAATAAAAAATACTGTACAAGTTTCAAAACGGGTCTATATGACTGATAAAAATAGGTTTCCCTCTGCAGTAACTCTCAAATCTGATTGGCATCTGTTCAATTCAAAACGTGTAATCGTGTTGGAGGTTACTGATTCCAAACATCATGATGCATTTCGAGACATCATGTTTGACATCATGCACATCAGCATGTACACAGTATGAGAATGAGGTGAAAACAGTGTTACAATGCAAATGCATATATATATATATATAATATTCCTTCCTATATGTATTCCTTCCGGAGCATCAGGGACTGTTTGAATCTTTTGTAATAGTTGCATGTAAGTCCCTCAGTTGTCCTCAGTGTGAATAGATGGATCTCAAAATCATACAGTCATTGTTGGAAAGAGTTCAAATACACAAAAGATGCTGGAAGAATTTGTGGGACCTGAAGGATGTTTCTGAAGAACAGCAGACAGATTAACTGTTCAGAACAAACAAAAGACTCATCTAAAAAAAAAAATAATAATAATCAGAAATCACAAAAAAAAAACAGCTGTGGATCATCCAGGTAACAACAATGTATTAAGAATCAACCATATGTAAAATTCTGCACAGGGTCATTTTTATAAATTCAACTATTATTTTCTCTTGTGGAGTATATGTAATAATAAATAACATGCATTTTGTATATTATTTTGGTAAAATAATTAACATTTTGCAGATACTTCGAAGTGTATGTAAATTTTGACCACAACATTGTGTGTGTGTGTGTGTGTGTGTGTGTGTGTGTGTGTGTGTATACACTCTAAAAAATGCTCGGTTAAATATAACCCAGCGCTGGGTTAAAAAGGGAAAACCCCAGCTATTGGGTTGTTTTAACCCAGCTATTGGGTTGTATTTAACCCAGCATTTTAGAGTATATATATATATCTATACATATAATCATGAATTAAATATAATTAAATGAGTAATTAGGGTACAAGAAACGCACAGATGTGCAGCAAAACTCACCTGTGAGAGTATTGAATTCAGAATTATGTGGAGCTTTTCACTGCACAAATCGCTCCACATCAGCTTGACAAAGACTAGAGCCTTAACAAAAGCCCAGCGAGAAAACCAAAGGCTTTTATGTGCAGATGTTTAGAAATGCGGAATCAAATCTGATTGGCATCTGTTCAATTCAAAACGTGTAATCGTGTTGGAGGTTACTGATTCCAAACATCATGATGCATTTCGAGACATCATGTTTGACATCATGCACATCAGCATGTACACAGTATGAGAATGAGGTGAAAACAGTGTTACAATGCAAATGCATATATATATATATATAATATTCCTTCCTATATGTATTCCTTCCGGAGCATCAGGGACTGTTTGAATCTTTTGTAATAGTTGCATGTAAGTCCCTCAGTTGTCCTCAGTGTGAATAGATGGATCTCAAAATCATACAGTCATTGTTGGAAAGAGTTCAAATACACAAAAGATGCTGGAAGAATTTGTGGGACCTGAAGGATGTTTCTGAAGAACAGCAGACAGATTAACTGTTCAGAACAAACAAAAGACTCATCTAAAAAAAAAAATAATAATAATCAGAAATCACAAAAAAAAAACAGCTGTGGATCATCCAGGGAACAACAATGGATTAAGAATCAACCATATGTAAAATTCTGCACAGGGTCATTTTTATAAATTCAACTATTATTTTCTCTTGTGGAGTATATGTAATAATAAATAACATGCATTTTGTATATTATTTTGGTAAAATAATTAACATTTTGCAGATACTTCGAAGTGTATGTAAATTTTGACCACAACATTGTGTGTGTGTGTGTGTGTGTGTGTGTGTGTGTGTGTGTGTGTATACACTCTAAAAAATGCTGGGTCCAGCGCTGGGTTAAAAAGGGAAAACCCCAGCTATTGGGTTGTTTTAACCCAGCTATTGGGTTGTATTTAACCCAGCATTTTAGAGTATATATATATATCTATACATATAATCATGAATTAAATATAATTAAATGAGTAATTAGGGTACAAGAAACGCACAGATGTGCAGCAAAACTCACCTGTGAGAGTATTGAATTCAGAATTATGTGGAGCTTTTCACTGCACAAATCGCTCCACATCAGCTTGACAAAGACTAGAGCCTTAA